TGATGATGATGATGATGATGATGATGATGATGATGATGATGATGATGGCAAAGGCCGTTCACTCAAACATACTGAGAATCTGTTGCGGACTGTTACTAGACACCCTAAGGCTCTAAGGGACAATGTATAGGTCAATATTCCACGCATGAAATCTTTGGGGATGGCCTTCTGGAAGAGTTCATCCACGTTGTTCTGCTTCGCCACCAAGATGGCTCGCTTCCTCAGCCAGCCGTGGTTCTCTGCTGGATTGGATCGGTGGTCGATAGACGATCGTCAGACCAAAAAGCACGTTCCCCTGCACCGCAAACCATCCAAAGTGTTGGGAAGCCTGCAGCGAATTGGGACCCAGGAAAACTCATATCGAAATATGACATACTGGGGGCGTTTTGATTCCATGTTGCTTGGAACAAGGGTATTCCGACTCACGTTACTCACGTTCAGCAAAAGACATGGTCCCAAACGTGGTGGGCATCTGTTTTTGTGAACCATCAGAACACAATCCAATCCCAGCAGCCCCCAACAAAGGATGGCCGAACCTGGGCTCGTTCGTTCAGTCCAGTGAGTGACCACAATTAGGACATGTCCATCATTTGAGAAGAAAACGCTATGTCATCGCCAGCCATGGCTTCAACACGAATTGGCTTCAACCCATAGGCCAGAACTGATCTGCACCTCTTCCAATCCGAATTTTGCCGAGGTCGAGCTCCAAGAATTCCATCAGCTAACTTCGGTCCTTCCAACTCTGTAGTCCCCTACCAACCCCCTTCAGGCCGCAACCGAAGGAATTTCACTCCACCCTCCTCCATCACTCCCAGAATAGGTTTACAAGGCAAATCCAACAGGAAACCCACTGATGCTCCACCCAAACTAGTGGTTTTCTCAAGACATTCCCTTAAACATCCTTAAACCAATTCTGGGAATCACTCGACCTCCAAGTGACCCATAAGGAACGGACTTGAAGAGCTCCACGGCCAAGCCTCCGGGGCTCATCTCCGCGGCCAGCCAGACCCAGCCCTTGCCATCATCCTCCACTTTCCTGATGGACACCGCGACGTGACGCGTTCACGTCGCGGGTGACGCGTGTGACAGTGACGGGTGTGGCGGGGCGAAGTGAAGACGACTTTAAAGGTCAAGGCATCAGCCACAGACCTGCTGCAACACACCCAACTGTTGCTACATGTACAAAGTGGTTTTGATCAACCTGCAGACTCAGTGGATTGATTCACAGGGAGGACACTTGGATTGGAGAGTGTCCTCATTGAAGCCAGGCATCCATTGTGTTGTGCACGTGGAATTCCTTGAAATGATTCCAGGATCACATGTCTAATCCACACAGATGTTTTTGCACAGTTTGTACTTTTGTACTTGGCTGATGCAAACCTTTCAGCTGCCTGCTGCTGGATGTCTTCCCCGCATACGTGCTTGGTTCCCCACCAGAAGTGGAGAGATTCTCTGGCCAGTGCGCATCTACTTTGAAGCCATGTTTGGAGAAACTCAGAGGTATCGTGGCTGATGGAATTAAGAAAGACTTTACCTTTCCCAAAAGGGACAGTTGATTTTTTTATTGCTCCAATTGAACTTCCATTGACATTTAACTTCTCATTTCAACTTGCCCTGAGCCCAGGCAGATCCTAGGCGTGCTGGACAAAAGTGATTCTTCCTTGAGGAAGTTGTTTCAATTAATTTTTGGCGCGAACGCTGAGCTCCCTTTGGGAAGGAAGAGTTGTACAAGTCAATAGAAGTTCCACTTTGAGCAAACAAACAGTCTTAGTCCCAGGTCACAGAAAAGGCCCACAAATTACATCTTTAGGAGGTTTGGTCAGTCGTAAAAAGAAAAACACAAAACATGGTTATATAAAGGTTGTCCACATGAAGTCCACTTTTCCTGGCTGATCAACCCTCCATCCCTCTGACCTCCACCATGGAACCCGCCACTCACGGACGTTTCGACGATGCGATTGGTAAAGAACGTATCTTGAACCACGCAGTCCGGTCCGTTTTTAGAGCGGAGGTAGTTTCAGACATCAACACACCCTTGAATCGGTTGGACCCGAAAAACCGGTGAAGGTTTCCGAGGTGTTTTTCTTCGGTGAACCAAAACCTGTGAGGTCGGATGAAGGAACTCTCTCCGATGGTTGCAGGGCTGGGTTCCAGGTCTCCTGACCTAACTCCCGTTCGGTTTGGTAAAACTGGAGGCCGAACGTAACAAACATGGTTTTGACTGTGACACATGTTATATTGTTGCGACTAAGAAACCGCTGGGGGGATGTGAAAGGGTTCCACATCAAGGTTTGCACCTCCGGACCAAAGAACCCACAAAAAGCACCTCGTCTTGCCACAACTGGTGGATCCCAACGACATCTTATCGATGGTGTCCATCACGGGTCCACAGCCAGACAGGTGGGTGTGTGTGGGTACATAATGCAAAACTGCGGACGGCGGCCTATTTCCTCACACCTAGGGGGGTGCTCGGGCACTAAAGGATCAGTGGATGGACCACGATGTCGTGACATTTGCACGGGTCCCAAACTAGAAAATTAACAGTCTTTCCAGGAACGATCCGATACGAGTCCTTTGCTGTATGTTGTGCACGCATGGTCGAGTGGGTTCAGTCCTTCTCGACGTCGAACCTTCTCGGACTTGCCATCTCCCTCACAGGTAATGCGAAAACGAAAACCAAGGGTCGTGTACATCACTGCTTGATGCTTTTCAGAGCATTTGGTGAGGCTGTTGGCGATCATTGCTCCAACATGTACCCACATCAGCTTTGTGTTGCACATCACGCAGTGAGATTGCCTCAATGTCAGCTCTCTTTTCTGCTCCTTTGACCACCACTGTAGGTCGATGAACCTTGTCGTACAGGTTTCTGGAGTCTGTGATTTGGAGTGCTGGTATATATCTTGCAGCTTCATTTGGAAGGCGTGGGTCAAGTGGTTGACCACACATCTCACTCCAGAGAACTCGTAGGTAAAGAAGGTCATCCTCTGCTTCTGTGTTGGCCAAAGTTTCTGCACAGGCTGGGCTTCTGCACACTCGCTCAATTTTTGAGCTTCTCCAGTGTATTGGTGATATGTTTCTTTCGAGGCCCTTTGCTAGTCCCTCATCACTCATACCAATAAACACACCAGCTGTTGAATCTTTGCCGTTCGGCCTGTTTGCCCATGCTGCGTCCGCCCAAGCTACCATGTAGAGTTGCGCCTCTTTGTCAAAACTGTGGATCTTATATTCCTGATGTTTCCACTTCTTCACGGAACGAACCAGTGCGTTTGTCTTGTTGATTGTTTCGACTGTTGCAACTGGGATCTCTGAAATCAAGAAATTGGTGTCCACAGAAAATAGAAAACAGGTTTGTCCGCATAGCCATGAAATGCTCCCCAACACTCCTCTCAAACAGCTCTTCTCAGAGTCGCTCGCGGCTAGTTGAGGTTGTCGTGCTCGATCTCGATTGATGTGGATTTCCTCAATCTCTTCTATGAACCTTTGTTGGTTGAGGGTGATGCTGAAATCCTCATGTTGGGTTACCAGAATGCCACACTGTTCAAACTGTTGTTCCTCCCAGGTTCCCCAAGAGAAGGATTGCCGGAGTGCTTCCAACAATCTCTTGTGTACTGGATTGTTTTTGTGGCCACCAAAAACAAAATCATCGACATGACCATGTATGATAGATTGCACTTCCTGTTGCTCATCAACGTACACCCAACAACATGGTTCGGTGATCAACCGACGGTATCCCAAGCTTTCCATGGTTGTGCAAACTGACCGGTACCACTGTAGCGGTGCCTGAACTAAACCATATGCTGCTTTTGTCAGTAGCATGGGAGTGTCATCGGTTACCCCCATTTCCTGGCAAATTTCTTTGACAGGGCGACACCAAATTGCCTCCTCCATGTCCTGCCCCTGAAGAAAGGCTCCACTGACGTCCCCCTTCATGATGTGGAACTTTTTCCAGGCACATAGTTGAAAGAAAAGTTGTCGTCCAGCCTTGCTTGGTGTTGGTGCCGCGGTCTTGTGCTGTTCATAGTTGGGATCTTGGTATCCCAAGATGATAGCTCTTGCTTTTGCTTTGCGGCCCCCTTCATACTTCGGATCATATTTCCAGGTTAAAAGCCAACGCATGCCCACCACTTCCGACTCATTGGGAATGATGTCAGCTGCTGCCCGAAAACATTGTGCCGAGATGAAGTTCTTGACCTCATTGTTCTTAGCCTTTGAGAATTGTATCAGCTCCTCTGGTGTCAGTGTTTTCTCTCTCACTTCCACTTGTTTGCGTTTCAGCTTGCTTGCAATAAAAGCTTCAGGTGAACGTTGAAAAAGCTTCCACTGTCGATGGGAGTCTGGGATGTCAATCTCAATCTCTATGGTTTGTCTCTTGTCAACATTGGCATAGTAGGCGATGAGGTCTGTTTCTGATTTTTCTTTCTTCCGACTTCCTGAGGCCTCCTCAGAGAGCTCTTGCCTTTTTGTCCCCTTTTTCACAAGCACCTTCTGGCGCTTAGCCTCCTGTTCACTCAGAGGCTTTTTCTCATCATGTCGGCGACGAGGTGCCAGAACTTCTCGTTCCTCATACTGACTGTCTCCCAACATCTCATCATCCCCGTGTTCGAGGATTTGTTGCCACTCAGCCTCTGTAGGACATTCTCCTGTAATGTCATCAAAAATCTTCTTTGTTGCTGTCTGGCACAAACTTGTAATTGTCCATGGGAGTTCAACCGGTTGTCTCAACTCTTCAATCCAGGTTTCTGTTTGACTTGCATGTCGGAGTTGTTCTGGTGCTGCACGCAACAACTTGCCTCCTCGAAAAATCCAAACTGTTCCCCCGGGTCGAAGTACCCCATCATCATTACGTGTTTCTGTTGCTAGAACTCTTGCTGGCCCCAAAAATCTTCCCTTCTTGAAGCTGGTACGGTCTTCAGGTGGAAGTTGGTTTCTCCAGTAGTAGACCAAATCCCCAGGAACAAAATGTTTGTACGCTCGATGGCCCATGCGCTCTGCCCTGTCCAGTCGACGTTTGTTTTGCTCATCCAAGAAGGCCTTCTCAGCTGTCTGCCGCAACTGGGTTTCCTCCTGAAAACCATTGTCCAACACGAGTTGAGGGTGAAGAGGGAGTTCCCGATCATCATGAAATGTTCTTGTGGTTGGGTCTGGCGACCTCCCCATAACATACTGCATGGGACTGAACCCCCTGTAGAGTTCCCGACAGTTCGCCACCCACAAACACTGTGCCAAAAGGGTGCCTTCTTGAGCATCAGGAAAATCATCCCCTACTGCTTCCATCATGCCCTTGATGGTTTTTCCGGTTTGTTCAACGATTCCCAACTTCCAATGAGCTTCTCCTGGAATGACCTCCAAAAATATGTCTTTGTCCGCCAAATAGGAATCACATTGTTTGTTGAGAAACACTCCAGCAGGGTCGACTCGGATGGTTTTCGGCTTTCCAAAATAGGGAACCCAAAGCTCTTCTAGTGACTTTTGAATCTCTTCCCAGTTGCCCCGAGGTAAAACACGACCCACTGTGAAGCGACTACCCACATCTACCATCAAGAGGATGTCTGCCTTCTTTTTGTGTACAGGGTGCATGAATGTTGTGATGTCCATCTCCATCACCTCCCCTTTGTTTGGTATGCCCTCTAGTGTCACAAATCGTCGAGGATCTTGACGTTTGCGATCAGAACATGTGGGACACTTCCAAGTTTTTGCGATGTCAACAATCTCTTTGTGTGAGCCCCGACGTTCCAAAGCCCTCACAATACTCTTCATGTCACAATGTCCTGAACTCCGATGTATGTGTTGCATCTTGCGTTCCACTTCTGCCTTCTCCTGCTGAGATAGCACTGTACTCTCGGATTCCGGTGCAGCCTCTGCTGGTAGAGCGAGGTCCTCAGGGAGATGCGATTGCAGCTCTTGAACTGTTTGTGACCAAACTTCTGACATGGAAAGACTGTCAACAACCTTCTTTGCAAAAACTGTTGTGTACCGCGCTGTGTGTGCTGTCTCGCCGGCTTCGCACTTTCCCTTGGGATGATTCTTTTGACACTGGAGGTTCATATGTTGTAGAAGGTGGGAGTTTTTGGTTGCTATCGTCCAAGCTTTGCACAACAATTTCTTCTGGTCTTTTGTACGGAGTCCCACTGCACATCCAGCACAATTCACCTTTTCCAGCTTGTGACGTGAGATCAGCTCCACAATCTCTGGGAGTTGCCACGCTTCGCACTTCTGAGAAAACTCCCAGTGCACCTCTGTTTTCAGCCGTTTCGCCTCTTCCAACACTTGTATTGCACCCCCATATTGAATTCTTGCACGATGTTGTTTGTCCTGCAATTGTTCAACTTGTTGAGGGTTTCTTTGATTGAGACGTTGTAGAGGAGAAAAAGGTCCACAAACACAGCTGATCCAGAGATGAACTGGTCGATGCTTACGGAGCATCTTAATGGCAAACTGTACGCCCTCCGGAGTCTCTAGATTGGCACCATTCCAATCGCTCAGCCTTATACTTGACCCAACACCAAAACGTTTTTCCACTTCCCCAGATAAAACACTGTCTTCATAACAAGCCAACTCCATCAATAAGGGTCGTTTGAACAAGTGAAGTCCAAGTTTTGCTGTACATATTGTTTTTGGGTCCCCAAAGCCGATGCACGAGCTGAGCAGTTTCCTCCGGGACGATCGATTCGCTAGCCTCGCTCACATCTCTCGACGGCCTTTGTTGCGAGCTGTCTGACGATGCAGGTCGCTGTTCTCGGCCTCCAATGCAGCAATCTTCTGGCGGAGACGAACCTTCTCCTCGTCGGAGTCCATGTCGATCACTGGTTGAGATGCCGCTGCTGTCTCCAGCGCCTTGGCCTTGGCAGTCGCCTTCATGGCTTCCAGTTGATCCCAATTGGACACATGGGGTGGTGGTGCCGGAGCGTAGCCGCTCTTGGACGCTGTTAGTGCCACCTCCTTTGAAGACTTTGGCATTGTCTTGGAAGGCTGAAGACTGAGGTTGTTGTCGTACTGCACTAGGCGCTCCATGCGCCAGAAGGGCATCTCTGCCTCTGCCACTGTCGTGCGGCACCAGCGAACATAGTCGGGATGATCCCGAGTCACTTCTTGCATGGTGAGGTCCGCATGTTTGCCAAAGCCCACCTTCTCCTGACGGGTTGGTGGAAACTTCTTCATAATCGCGGCCTCGCCCTTGGCAAAAAGAACTGCCATGGTGTCGGACTTGTTGAAGGTGACTTGATTCTCCTCCAGGAATTCCTGGAGTGACGCTTTCTTGCGGGATGCCCGCTTCATGGCTGCAATCTCGGTGTGCATGTTGGCCTCGTTGGTCTCCTTGACTGACTCGGTGTACTCTGCCCAAGCCGCTTTGATCTGGATCAGATTCCACTCTTTGGGTGGATGAATGCCAGCCTCGTTCAGGCGAGCAATCCAATCGGCCTTCGTGGTTGGAGCTGGCATGCCGGTCACGGTGAGGAGACACTGCAAGGCAACGGGCTTCCGATTTTGAGCTGGAGAGATGCTGTGTGTGCACATGTGTGTGTGTGTATCAGTCACTTCAATACGTTCCTGGCAAAACTGACAATGCTGCTCACACATTGAAAGAAGTGAGCACTGTGGACATGTTGTCATGTCTTTCTCCCAAACCCCTGCACAAACAGAATCACTACCCCTAGATTCTAAGTGCAAATCAAACAAACTCCCTTGACCGGATTTATTTCCGTCCATAGCGTCAAAGGAGCGAATCCCCTATTCACAATCTAATGACAAAAAAGGTGCCCCCCTTTTGGTGGCTCCAGCCAAGATGTTGCCGGTGATGGGCATCAGCAAATGTCCATTTTCAGCTTCTTTCAGCGGCACGACTTGACTTGGATCCACCTTCGTGTAAATCGCCTTGCTCTCGCCAAAATCAATGACAGCCCCAAGAGCCTTGAGCGCTTTGCGAGAGACCAAGACGGGTTGCCCTGGAGTATCATGCACATGGATCTCCATGTGCCCTTCTTTGCATCCAGCGCCCACTCCAACGGTCACGGTGGAGAGACAATCCTTCTTCTGGCCATTGCCGAACTTGAAGGTGGGACGACGCTGGAGGTCGATGGCCATTTTGGAATCTCCGGACTGCTGAATGTTGTTCAGCATGATCTTCTCAAGTGCCTCAACGGAGCCCAAGGATGAGGTGGCTCCTGAGTCGATGATGCCCATGCATCCCTCAAGAGCTTGCTCAGTGCTGATGGCCTCATAGCATTCTTCACCCAAGAGTCCAGCCTCTTCAAAAGTGGTGAAGGCAATCTCAGCTGCTTCTTCACGGGCCACCTTGGCGTGTTGTGCCCTCTGTGGGCATTGTGCCATGAGGTGAGGACCACCACATTTGAAGCACTTCTTGGAGCTCTCAGCAGTCCTAGCGGGAAAAGGCTTGGGAGCAAAATACCCCCTGCCCAGCTTCAGTTGCTTCTGCTTCCATCGTGCCTCTTTCAAGGTGGTCTTTTGGGCCGTGATGGCCGCCATGGCCTCCTCGATGCGCTCCTGCTCTGACCAATAGGCCTCCTTGGCCTCAGCATCCATGCCCTCCAAGACATCGGAGTGGTCATCAGCCATGAGAGCTTCCAGCTCTGCTTCATCATCTTCAGCCACCATCGCACTTCCGCCTTTGAGGCGGTCGCGACGAAGAAGATCCTCATCGCTCCATTGCTCACGGAGCGCACGGCCAACGGAGGTCACCGAGAATTCGCCTCGCAGGGCTGCGAGGACATTGGCCCGTTCCTGAGTGTCCAGGCCTGATCGATGCAGGAGCAAGAAGCCTGCCAAGAACTCTGGGATGAAGATTTCCGAGGAGGTGTCCCAAGTGGAAGGGGGCTCAAACTCAGGGGTCTTCCAGGAGTGGTGTGACCAATGCGACCAATCCCAACCCTCATGATGATCCCACCAACCATGATGAGCCTCCTGCCACACACCATCATCTTCATCGTCTTCCCGAAGAAGACCATTGTCCATGAAGGGAGTACCCACCTGTGTCTGGCTGTGTAGTGAACGTGGTGCGGCATGATGACCCTCACTCTTCACACTGCCACCATGTTCACTGCCAATGGTTGGGGTACCTTGGTACCATGACCCCGGCTTCGACTGAGCTCCGAACTCCTTTTGGACCTTGCGAAGGCTTTGCGAGGCCTCCCAAAGTGCCTCCGAGTGCCTCGTGATCCAGCTGGTCATCGTCTCTTGCTTCTTCCGCTGGAGGTTGTCGAAGAAGCGCATGACGAACCGAGAGGCTTCGGGAAGGCTTGGCCGGGCAATTGTGGCGTCCAGGTGGTCCAGAAGGGTGTACACCCCCCTAGGATGGGAGATCCACTGCGGATCTCTCAGGGTCATGGTGCGCACCGACATCTTGGCGGTGCCTTCCAATTCCTTCAACAACCTTGGTCCAGCCAGGTATCGTTTCCTGTGCTCGAAGGTCATGAGGAATTGCACTGCCTCCTCCCTATACAGACTCATCAACTCCGGTGTGCCGTCAAACTTTGGCACACCATCGTGGGTCCGTTGGATCCCACGTTCAGCCATGTGCCTCGGGGCTCAGGCCGAACCTCAACGAAGAAAAAGGAACCAGGCTCCGGCTGCCATGCAAAACTGCGGACGGCGGCCTATTTCCTCACACCTAGGGGGGTGCTCGGGCACTAAAGGATCAGTGGATGGACCACGATGTCGTGACATTTGCACATAATATGTGTGGACCGGACTTGATTTCACTGATGTCCTTTGAGCAAGTATGAGTCTTGGACTCACTTCCAATGTCTTTTTTACACAGCACACTCCCAGCAACTCGTCAAGGTTCTCGCATCCAGCAACCACTGGATGGCATGGTTTGTGCCAAAACTGCGCGTGAGACTCACACCAAATGGTCTAACATGTTCACCCAGCATCACCCAGCTATATATAACAACTTCAACATGCACACGCACACGCACACACGCACACATGCACACGCACGTTCCACTTTCCACTTTTCATTCATGCCTGGTAGTCACTGGCATTTTAACATATCGACAGAATTGCAACGAAGTTGCTGCGTCTCATCCACGCCTCAGTGGTCGAGCAACACGACCGCTGTTTGGTCGTGGACCGTTGCGAGGAATTTGGCACTGGAAGTCCGCGCAAAAGCCCGAAAACGGATGGTACTTTGATGTACTTTGTACTCTATGTGGGAACCTCCTTCAAATCCCTCCCTGGAGATCTTGAACCATCCAGGTCGGATTTGATTCACCCACATTAATGTAGACTCTGGATTCACTAAAACACAAACACACAAACATATACGAATTCGAAGAGGCTTTACAATCCAAGTTGGGGTTTACTCTACTTACACCCGCTGTAAAACACAGCAAGGGGTAACGTAGAAGCGTCCATGAACTGCAAGTGAGCGCATCCAAGTTGGGGTGTCGTTAATCGCGAGTCTACATTGATCAATAGTTCTGAAACGACCGCCTGCCTACGGCATCCATACAAGAACATGTATATATTGGGGAGCTCAGGCTCAGGGCTTAATAACCAGAATTTTAGGCTTTAGGGTTCGAAGATCTTCAGATTCATTTAATGTTGTCTTCATAAATCTGAAATATGGCCTATATATACACAAAGGGCAGGGAATCCATTAAAATCTGATCTTCAAACGGCAACACCCACTTCCTCAAGTGCTCCTGCACAAAGCCTGACGCCTTTGCATCTTCCAGCCAATGAATTGTCGTTGCAGGCAAAGCGCCATAGCCCACACCACCCTTGGTGACGAACATGGGGTTGGCCATTTGTTCCTTCAACTTTGCCACGCCCACTGCGATGTCCTGCATCGAGAACTGCGATGTCCCATCTCGTGTGTCTACCTGATCGACCTGATTTGCTTGAAAACAACCCAAACGAAGTGGCAAAGGGTCAAAGGATTTCTTCTTTCGACCTGTGGTGTATGATGATGTTTTCCCATCCTCCGGTGTCCCCCACAAAGGTTAAGAACTCACTGTGCTGCACTAGTCATGTGTATCAATCGAAAGGACCCCCGTCGATGTGGTTCCTCTCTTTACTTTGTTGCTTTCCTGCAGGCCATGGGGAAAAAAAACAAAGAACATCCACGACAAAACATGGAACACAAGCACAGCAGTTGGTGAAGCGCCATGCAGTCCAAACCTGAAAAGCCTGCGGCTTTCCCCCAATTCGCCAGCGTTCTGACACCTAGTGCAATAGGTTGGGTCTATCCTATTACCAGGGCCTCAGTGGATGATGATGGTTAGTAAAAGAGGCCTTGTTCAAACATAGTAAAAATGGTTCACTGACTGCTACAGGTCAGTTCGAACAAACCCAACCAACCAGGTCAAGCCTCTTGCGCACGGCGCACAAACCGGTCGATTTCCGCCCCCCGACTTGCCGCCGGTTTCGTACGACGGCCGGGGCTCCTTCTTGCCGATGTTGCCGGGAGGTGGGCCCTTCCAAAGCCCGGAGTAGCGCTTGAAGCCCTGGGGGGTGAAGTCGCCGTGAAAGAACTTCACGATGAGCTCCTCAGCGGCTGAAGGCGCCGCAGCCGAGAGATGGCGGAAGTGACGGCCATTCCAAGTCGTGCGACGGCCGTGTCTCGAAACGGCCCAGGTGGATCCTTGCGGTGTCAATGGGGCTGCATATACATGGCAGTCCCACCGGTCGTGGGAAGCGGTGCCTGTTCCAGACCCCGGACAGGTGGATCCCGAGAGTCACAGGTGGTCGAGAGGCAAACCATGGTAGGTAAGTCCAGTGGTTTTTAGGCCAGGACCAAAACAAGAGTCTTTTTCAAAACCGTTCCTGTTTCCTTACTGCTCGTGGAATTTCGATCCACTGCAGATGTTTTGTTCCGCGAACTCCACCAATGTTTCGAAGAAGAGAGACAGGGATCCACTAGCCACTGTCACTCTCTTGAGTGCTTTGAGGACTCCGTGCATTCGTCATGCACCAGCTTGAAAGAAGGAGCCCGAAAAAAAAAGGCTTTGACCTGTTCATGATTGCTCAAACCTCGAACTTGATCAAGCGTCTCTTGCTATGGCTGCTATGGTAGCAAATGATTCCACCATGCTGCACCTACTGCAAAAGATTTCAGGTGTCCACCTCTTTCGTGCATGACACAGGTGCACAGAATGCTGAAGATGTGCTACGTTTGGTACTCTTCCTTTTCACTGGGTGCTCTTCCCTACCAAACACATTCCGAACATCAAGACTTTGGGGAACGTTTGGAAGCCCCAATAACGATCCCAATGCATCGCCAATCGGAATCTTGGGCGGGCTCCCAAAGGCTACCAAGAGCTGTTAGGCTAGCAACCTTGTATAAAGCCAAACCAAAACCGTCCACTTCATGGATGTTGGAGAGAGGGAGGGGGAAAAAGAAGTATATATTTGGAGGCAAAAAGAGTCCGTGTGGTAAGCCGCTTTGGACCATCGCTCTCTTTCTCTCTCAGGAACCAATTGAAAAGGGGGCCAATTCCTGATATAGCTGTCATTGTTTGTATTAGCTTGGGGCCAAACGCGGTTTCGCCAAGAGAGTGCGAGTGCACCAGATCCCAGTGACAGAGAGCACGGTGCCCTTGGGAGGATCACCCCCAGCACCTGCGAGGCTGGGGTTGGCAATCTGAAGCCGTCCATGCAACGAGGAGGGTACGAACGAGGGGATTTTGGGTTTTCCTAGGCTGAATGTACATCACACACCTGGAAGTCTGGCAAATGCTGGAACAACTTGAGACATTGTTCAAGTGAAGGTGTGCTTCCCTTCAACAAAAAAGCGCAAAGGATCATAATTAGTTAAGTTCAAAAGGTCCAGGAAAGATTTACACGTCTCGCCGCCCGAAATGTGTCGATTGCTGTCACAATAACTTAACTCGATTGTCACCTTGGGAGAAACACATAAATGGTTCTCTGAACGCCAAAAACCTGCGATGGACTAATTCATTGAACACGGACGGGTCATTTGGAATGTAGCGATGAAGAAAGACTTCCGTGGTTCACATGGGATGAACCTTGTCCGGCCCATTGCCCGGCCAGGGTGGACTGGGTGGAAAGCTCAGGTATCGGGTCAAATCCATTGAAAGCGAGATTCAGGTGACCCAAAGGTGACCCGCAAACACTGGGGCAATATATGACAAGCCTTTATTCTCCATTGGTTGCCTGAGAGTCCCTTGAAGCTCTTTGCTGTGCTATTAGTTCTGCTCTGAGGCCCACCTGTGAGCAGAGAATTGTAGAAGTTGGTGATGTCCGCATCGCCTTATTTGGAACAGGGGCCGGACGAGCATGCCTTAGCCAGTATTTCCCAAGATTTTTCTTGGACACATCCAAAAATGTACAAGCCCACTCACCAAAGAATCTCAAGTAAAGACAAACAAAAAACTTAAACAGTTTCTTACAGACTTAGACTTAGACCCATCCAAACAAAATACAAACACTGCCTGCCATGTCGCTGATGTCATACTCACCGCCGCCTCGTGCTCTGAGTGCTACGGACGTCCGGCGCTCCAAAGGTGTTGGCGCACCCACAAAGGCCAGGAGCTGCGAGAGGACAAAGGTGCCGCAGCACAGGAGAGCCGCCACCAAAAGGCGGTTTTGACGCACCATCGAGCGAGTACCACGACGACCCACCGCGAGCGAGCTGCCGGTGTGAGCAGTGGAGCCAAAACGCTTTCAGATCGTGCAATCCTAAGGTCGCCATAGAGGTCCTGTGATGTCAATATGTCCGTGGGTCAAAACCAGCCCCTAAATCCTGGTGGGTTGACATCCTGAACATAGAGGAATTGGTTCATTTTTGGTGGTCGACCAGGGTTACAGGGCTTTGACCCACAGCCACATCTGCCAGGGATTCCAAAGCCACCTTGACCTGCACCAAAATATCTCCAAAAACACACCAAGCCTCGCACGGTCGACGACTGTGTCTTAAGTCCCAATCCGAGGTCACCATCCTGGGGTCACTGAATTGTGGCATCCCATGGCATCTTCACCACTTGGATTTACAAAGGATAGGACAGGATATACATTTAACAAAATTCATTTTAAAAAATGAAGTATACAAAATATTACAAAAACATATACAGAATCATACTCCTCAGAAGAGGGATTCACCCAGTTCGGAACACTTCACCTTCGCGTTCCACCGGTCCACAGCTCTTCACCATCCACCGGTGCCTCGGAGTACCTCGGGCGCCGCGTAGTAGAGGGTGCCGCAGGAGTCGGTCATGGGGAAGTCGTCGATGCTGTGCGCCAGGCCGAAATCGATCATCCTCGGAGAGACGCGCAGACGCGTGCGCGAGCGTGCGCGCGCCCCGGTTTGTCGGCCGGCCGGTATTGCGGCGGTCTTCGGTGGACTCGGCCGGTGTTGCGGCGACGGTGTTGGGAGCTGAGACGTGGTTGATCGAGAAAGTGATCTAAGAATTGGGAATTCAAAGCTTCAAAGTGATCTAAGTCAAACTTCCAGTTATGCCACCTTTTTGGGCAAGGTCATTCAGGGACTGCACAAAGGTCGCTAACTCAAGATCTCGGATGCAAGGTGTTTTCCGTTCCTACATTCTACATGAAGTGGATGGTGAACGAGGATCAACATATCTACGAGGATCAACACAGCCCCGCCCGCAAGAAATAGACCACATGGGCCACGTCTTTCAATGGACATTGAGGCTGCAGCATCTCACCATGCGCACATGCACTCATGCCCAAGAGACATCAGACTAGCTGGCTGGTAAGAATGATTATATGTCCACCACACCTGCCCTAGAAGCACAAGACAATACAAAAAGAAAACGCTGACTTGAGTTCCCAGCTGACTTGCTGTAGCCGTTGAAGGTGAGAGTGTGCAGGGCAGTCGTTAGGCTTTGGTGACCCATGCTTTCGCTGGCTGGCCAGTTGGTGAGACTTGGTGAGATGAGTCTCCGATCCACGGCTTAAAATACAACGGCTGTTTGGTGTAGCAACAAAGCACCTCCTGGGATTTATTCTGTGTCTTTTTTCGTTGTTTTTTGCAATATACCAAAAAAAACACTACCCTGGAAGTCAAAGACTATATACCAGCACCTTCCAACAGATCACCACCTGCGACATTTAAGTCTCCAAAAGCCGCCAGAGGAGACCTGTTGGAAGGTGCTGGTATAGAAAGAATATTGTACATAATAATTTAGAACAATATGTCTTTATAGGGTCCTGAAAGGGAATCTTTGGACTTCTAGGGACTAGTTCATCTAATGAGTTCAATATATAGTTCAATCAATGAATAGACCTGGACAAAGTTCCATCGCTTGTAGGTTGGAAGCCATCGCTACTAGCTAATAGACCTACTTCGGAGGACACGACGTTCGCTCGAATCCCGGACGTTCTAACGGCGTGGTTCGATTCAGAGAGGACCCGCGCTTACGTTCTCCATGATCCATCCTCACTTGGGGGGTTCTTCGGAGCAACGTTTAAAGTTTAGGATCAAATTGAATCTCGATCCTTGAGCTGTACTAAATAGCACAAATCCGAGGAATGTAAACCAACCAGCGCCTAATAGAAAGCCCTGCTCCTCTTCAGTGGAAGGCTGGGATGCGGTTTCTCTTTGAATTGCCTTTTAAGCTGTTAAGCTTTTCCAAGTCTTCACCAAGCAGCTTGATGCGAGCATTCTCGGAGTCATCCTCCAGGCAGAAGTTCTCTAACTTCAGGTCCTTATAAATCATCTCAAGGTCCAAGGCGATCTGTCGGGGCGATCCGTTGAGGAGCGATCCGTTGAGGAGCGATCGGTGGGGGGAGCGGATTCTGTGGGCGGACCTGGCTGACAGTAATTCCGGCATGACATGAGGACATGATTCGGGCGTAAAAAGCATGCAGCCATGAAGCAGGCCCCGACTCCTAACGGAGAAGCCCCGAAGAACCGCCGCTCTGAGCTGCCTGAGCTAGAGAAATATACTGTAAAGACTGAATTGCCCTAAGAATCCGGGCCCTCAAATACATAGGGTTTTGAGGGCCCAGACCCCTGCCACGGAGGGTCTGACCCCTGCCATGGAGAGCCCAAGGATTGTTAGGGTGATTCATTTAAGAGAAACTCAACAAGTGGATTTTATAAAGCTGCATCCTGGGGGTGCAGCTTTAATCGGATTAACAGCCGACAGGGCTCCAGGAAACTCGTCTTGGTAGTCCACATGTTCTGCAGCACATACACCGTTTGACCAATCGCAGTTGTCGCTAATCAAAAAAATATCATCAGAAGTGTTGAAGAAATCCTTCACTTCACTTCACCAGCCAACACTTCCTTCCTTCCAATCTTCCTTCTTCCGCTGAATAAGCATTCTCTCGTGACCACCACTAGCAACATCCAGGGATTCTAATTATATAACCCAGACACTCTATATGGCATATTTACCTACATTGGGGTGGTTTTGGGGGTCAATGTAGACATATTATGGCAGTCCCATGGAGTGTCTGGGTTATATCATACCACCATCCATCTGGATTCCTTCCGATCCTTCCCCCGCCCAATCCGCTAGCGCGGCCGAAGCCACTCTGTGGCACACGCCGTTCCGATGGCAATAGGCGACGGCGCTGAGGATTTGTCGCACGATGTCGACGGCATCCGTTTCGGTGTAACGCCTCCTGAGGAGAGAAACGGTAAGACTCCGAGAGTGCTTGGTACTACCCGGGTAGATGCATGTCGACGTGGACGGGCGGTGTTCCCCCACGTTAGGGTTGGGTCCTTACTAGGCAAAAGCCCAAAAGAAACAGACTCCGATGTGATTTCGAGAACATCACATGTTTCCACAAACAACAAGCAAATGTGATCTTGGAAGTCAAGGTCACCATGGTCACCGCCTGAGAAACCACGCCTTCCGTGTGGTTTGGGTGATTGAGTGTCAAGGACACCATGTTTTCTGTCAGATTCCAAGACCATCCCCTAAGGATCCACTACCACCCTCCTCTGGGACGGTGATGTGTAGACACGTACTGATGAAACCTTCCAGGGCCCGAGAGGCTCGAAGCGTCCGTGGATGTCGGATGTCCAGGGCAGTCCAGGCTTCCACAACCTGCCAGTGACCAACTCAATTCTCACCATGGCTCTTCTTGGAAAATGCGTCGAAGAGGTCAGGGCCATTGAGCTTTTCCATGACCTCGGCAAAGGCGTGGGTCTAGTGGCGAGAGTCGAGGTCCACCCCTTAGGATGAAGTTGGCCAAAAAGTCCAAATAGCGTAAAGCCGCAGACATCCTTAAACCATCTTAAACCCATTTACACCCAGACTCAAACCCATTCAAACTGCCCTTCAGGTTGAGGCTTTGTTCCATCATATCGTGTACTCTGAAGAAAAGGCAGTTCAGTGTTCAATTTCCCTTGGCGTGTAGTCCCTGGGGTCGAGAAGCCCTGAAAGTTGGATTTTGGGGTCAGGTGAAACCTGGGTGTGTATCTTCATAGGGAGGCCCCCTGGCCCCTGCTGCATGAACTGGTCCCTATATATATATATATCACCATATATCACCACCCATTGTTATTCTGGTCATCCTCTGCGCAGCCGGACGTCAAGTGGAAGATCCTTGGAACCTCGATCCACTGTCCACATGTTTGGTTCAGAATCGATCCACCCAGGGAGTCCATCACCTGGTGGCCTGGTGCTTCTTGGGCAACGCGGGACGTGCATGCCAACCACCTACAGCGCTTGGAAAAGCGGTCCTAAGGGTGAAGCGAACGTGAAAGCCTGAAGCAGCACAAGCTGCTGTGACTCAACTGGACCACATCCAAAGACCTGGTTTGGACCATCACACAAAGCACAAAGAGCTGGTGTTCAAGCTGGTTTGGACCATCCAAAGACCTGGTGTTCGAGCTGGTTTTGGACCATCCAAAGACCTCACACAAAGCTCTTGGGACGGGGATGTGAGCAGGGACTGTGAGGGCCGCTTGGTTTATAATTCTATAGTCGACAAATGTGCCACGAGTTCCAGATTTATATTCATTCCATCCCCACTAAAACTGTTGGTAAATCTACCTCCTATGTAAGTAGCTGGATTGGGAGAGATCCAAGCCCAAAACAGACCTACATGAACTTGACGAGTCCCTCATCTCGGCGCCGCCACCCCAGGCAAGGTACAAGCAATAAGCGCGTCGGCTCCTCATAGACCTCGAGACTCGACACCGCTAGATTCTGGGGTCGGCTGAGAGATCGCAAGAACAAAAGCTGGGCTCCTTTATCAAAAACACGGATGTCCTTTTGCAGTTTGGAGTGTTTGCCAAAATTGCCTTTAGCAGAATCGTTGATTCGACTCCAGCTTTTATGCTGTAGAATCTAAAAATTATGGTGTTTATTTCTTTAGTTAGTTCCTGGTTTTTTTAAATCATTTCTTGGATGGTGCTATAACATGCCCCTTAAGTTAGTCCCAGTCCCTTCGAGTCCCCCACTCCAAACATGAAGACTGACGTCCCCACCCCACCCAAAACCATTGGGTGTTCGTTTTGTCCGGCCAATCGGCCTCGAGGAGACGGCAAATGTTGGGATGATCCATGGCGAGTTGGTGTTGGATCTCCGCCTTAATGTGCTCCTGGCACCGCGTCAGCGCCGCTGACGCCGGACGGCTAGCGCGCGCCGCGGACGCACCGCGCGCCGCGGACGCTGCGCGCCGCGGGTAAGCAGGGTGGAGAACGGACACACCGAGGCGGGTTGGGAGTGGAGAACGGGCACGGACAGGATTCAGGAGGGACGAACTTGTTGAAAACAGTTTGTTTGCCTGGCATGGTGGAGTGCGAAGAAAACTCCTTGCCCAAACAATCCAGGTCAAAACCAACACCGAGAGCTTTGAGGGTACACGCCCCTGCTGCAAAGACCTCTATGGAGGGCCTTTCCAGGGCCGAAGGATGCTTCATCAAGGCTCAGTCCAAGAGATTTGCAACTGTGCGGGATGTTGACAGAGTCGCTTCAGCCAATGTGCTTCCAACATAGTTGCTTCCTACGGTGAGTATCTCATTATATTTTATGGTATGCAAAAATCGGATTGCCACCATCAGTCATTGATGGTGGCTAGGATCTGTACCAGTAGCAAAGGCAATACATGCTGACCCAATGTCCTGATCCCGATAATCCCGGTCCATGTCCGACCCCACAGCCAGGTTCCTTGTTCATGTTCAGTGGCAAAGTCTTGATGGCAACCTCTGCCTCAGAGACAAGCGGTGTCTTGCTACCTCCGCTGCTCTTCAACTCCCAAGATCCAGCAAAGTTCCTGTCATGGACCCCTAGACCCCTCCTAGACCCCTAGACCTCCAGCCACACCCACCTCCTCCACAGACCTATCTTTCAACATGTCCCTCAGCAGCTCTGCGCTTACCGCGACTGGTGCTGGTGTGCGCCGCCCCAGCGGGGGGGGACTGTGTGGGATCTTGGGGGCCTGCTGTCGTTGGAACGACCCCGCTGAAATCTTGGGGGGGGCGGTGTCGTTAGTGTCAACTTCCCAACAGGATGCCACCTTTCCTTCGCATGGGTGCGGATGTTGCAAAAACCAAGAGTTTGAGACTCCTGCTCGACTCCTACTCAACACACCTCCTTCACCCATGCCTGGGAGGTCTCCCTATGGCAAACACACACCCGTATGAAGATATCGCTTGCTGTTGTACAATCCGTGAAAATTCATACGACAGTTTGACTGTGGTCGTGTGGTTCGACAGGCGGTAAAATACTGAAAGTCCTTTCAACAATGAAACCTTGAGGATTCTAATAGTTGGTGGCATGGATGAGTGCGCCGCTGCGACACCACCCGGTGTCCAAAAAGGTTATCAACCCATGCCGTCCAAATGCACAAAGGTTCCTGTCAAAGCAATCGCTTCAGAGGCTACAGGAACTGAGGCGAAGCTGGCGCAAAATTCCCTGTGGTATGTGGAACAGCTGAACTCGAAAAAAAAAACTGGAACACGCATGATTGCTACTTGCATTCTGATGAGGCTGTTTGCCAACAAGCCTTCGGCGACCAACAACGGAGGATTAGAAGTGCTCGGTAGTGACATGATATAACAGAATAGTCTGGGGCTGCAAGCGCAGTCTCTTCCGGGAAAGGCCAATCGCACAAAAAAATCATCACACACTCGCATGGAAACCCAATAGGCGGAGTGGTAGACCGTCCTGAAGGTTTGGGTTTACAGGCGTGACGAACAAGATTGTAACTATGCTTGCAAGGCACCGAAACACCACACTTGAGACAGGAATTCTTCCCTCGTGGTTCAATCCTGGAGATGGCATTAACCCTGCGGAGACCCCAAACAGAGCTTGTGTGTGAGGTATAGAGGTGTAGCAGCAAAAAGTCTAGAGATCTAGACGCAGTGGGGTCCAGAGAGGTGATGAAGGTGGAGATCGTGGTGATGGTGATGGTGGTACAGGTGAGTGAGTGAGAGTGAGTCTGAGCGTGAGTGAAAGTGAGAGTGAGTGTGAGTGTGAGTGTGAATGTGAGTGTGAGTGAGCGTGGGGGTGAGCGTGTGTGAGTGTGAGTGAGAGTGAGAATGAGAGTGAGTGTGAGTGAGAGTGAGGGGTGAGAGTGAGAGAGTGAGAGAGTGAGTCAGAGTGAGTGAGAGCGTGAGAGAGTGAGAGGGAGAATCAGAGTCAGAGTCCGTTTGAGTGAGTGGGTGAGTGGGTGAGTGGGTGAGTGGGTGAGTGAGTGAGTGAGTGAGTGTGAGTGTGAGTGTGAGGGTGAGTGAGCGTGAGCATGTGTGAGTGTGAGTGTGCGTGGGAGTGAGAGTGAGAGTAGTGAGAGTGAGAGTGAGAGTGAGCATCTGAGAGCACAAAGCACTGCGCCTGAAACGAAATCTGCGTTTCCAGGTTCACAAATTCACAAAGTGCTGCGCCTGCCACGAAATCTGCACTTTGAGGTTCACAAAGTGCTGCGTTCGCCACTTCAAGATTTACATGCGGCAGCCCTGACAAGGCGTGTCGCCGCAAGAACGTTTCCAAAGACAACATACACATACCAAAATGCAGCTTTCACGCGAGACCTCCCCCGACTTCTGAAAACGAGCCACATGTAGAAAAGTCATGATTCACTGCACCTGTCACGAAATTAGAGCACGTCGAAGATCACCGACATGTCCAAAGTGCTGCACCTGCCACGAAATCTGCATTTTGAAGTAAAACCGCTCAGTTGCTTCCTCCACTCCTCAGACTAGCTGATACAGTGGAGTATCTCTGGGTGTGTGCCAATGTGATCCTGCAAGGGATTGTCTGGACCAGTCCGCTCTCTGCCAATGCACTGCAAGTCGACAGTAACGCAATGAGACTGTTTGTCAACTGCACCTGCCCAGCGCAGCAAGGTCATCAGATCCAGCTGCTCATCACTGCTCAGCTTCCTGTCTTTCATACGCTGAGCGCTTTTCTCTTTGTGGAAAGGCTACCTGCCCCAGGAGGGCTACGTGGAGGCTCATCCGTCTCCTACACAGGTCTATGTGGAAGCTCTCATGGATGGGGCCTATGAAGGTCTTCCTGCCCCAGGATGGAGGCTCATCCGTCTCCTACAAAGGCCTACGTGGAGGCTGAGACTGGCGACTGGATTTCTTCCATAGGGCCCTCGTCCTCAAGAGCATCTGCAAGTGCTGAAGCTCCTCGACAACTTCCCTTCCAACCGCGTCCTGCAGATGGAGAACCGCAGAACATGCCTAATTGGCTCGGCAAAAACGGACAAAAAGCAATTCACATTCTTCAAATTGTTCATGACCCAATGTGTCAAAAATGCCTTTGACTTGATCATGGTCCTGAACGGAGGATGGCAATCAACGTTTCTCAATGAGCCAGTTGCTGCTACAGCATGAATCAGTTCATCAGGAGCAGCTGAATGTTTGGTCAAGCAATCGGCTAAACAGTACTCTGAACGCAGAGACTGACAAAGTCGATGGCCAAAGTGTGTTGGAGGCAACCTCTCTCCTGTCCATTGGCATAAGCTTTGACGGAGGTTGTTCAAACCACAGGTCACTACCTGAAGGGCGTACTCAAACTTTGGCTTCTCTGCAAATGGCGCGGCCCTCCTTATGGCGGATTGTTTCGACCTTGTCGTCTCTGCATCAACCGTTTGCAGCCTGGACAGGTGGCCGCAGTCCGGCATCAGCTGGCCTATTCCCTGCCACATCTTCCGCAAATCGTCATCACCCCACGGAGGGCTCAAGTGGCCAAAATTTGCCCACCAAATGCCGTTATTCACGCAAAATCGCTTTGAGGGTGGATGGGTTGCGATGGAGAAGGACAACCAGGCTATCTTAACGTGCAATTGCCATATTTGAGCAATAGTTTGTTGGATCAAAGTGAGGTGAGATTCAAGATCGCACTCTTTCTGAGTGATGATGGTCACTATGATGGTCGCATAGAGAAAACACGGACAAGCTGTCGAAGTACGATTAAGGGGGGAGAAGATCGGCTGAAGCACACTTGCGCGTAATGAGTGCATTCCCAGACAGTAATTGGACCATCTTTCTCGCAGTCACAAGGTCTCTGCACCTTTCGTATGGCTGGAAACACTAATGCGTGACCAAACCTCCCCTATTATAAGTGTGATATAAATATATAGTAGTCGAAGAACAGCGGCTCGCATGCGAGCCTGCTCCTGTTGTGGAGTAACAACGTCGGGAGAAGCAGAACGCCCTTCCAGCTGAAGGGTGGACAGCCAACGAAGAGAGCTAACCACAAAGAACGCCATCAACATTATCATTTCTCACATCATCCTTCTTCTCATCATCTTTTACTAACCATCCTGCATCTTCTAAAGCTTGTCCCAAAGCAGTCTACGTAAATTTGGGCACTGCGATTTGCATTCGGAGCCCCAGCAATTGCAAACATTGCATCATCCATCATTTTGCAATACCCTTCGCGTGTCGGTTTGGACAGCAGCCATGCTTTAAGTTAAGTCCCGCGCCGACGCGTCCTTGATAGTGGCTTGATCGGTTTAATTCACCCTATTGACACCAGAATAATCAAAATTTGCTGCCTGACACTGTCTAGCCTTAGGGATCCTAATATCTTCTCAGATGGCATTTGAACCCTCAAAACCTACAGCAAAGTGTCTCCAATCACCTAAGTCACCTTCGTGGATCCATTGAACCTCCCAAACCCGGCCCCACCCCCGATGCCCAGGGACGCCAGTCTTTTTGTTCTTTCCCACCACCTGGGCAGTTCGGTGGGCCAGTTCGAACATCACACCCCACAAACCCACCTGCAAAGTGCACACTATACATGAATACATCATATATCTATATATATATATATGATCATCATCATCATCATCATCATCATCATCATCATCATCATCATCAT